GTCTTTGCTATTGTGAATAGTGCTGCAATAAACATACATGTGCATGCATCTTTATAACAGAATGATGCATATTCCTTTGGGTATATACCCACTGATGGGATTTCTTGGTCTGCTGAGCTTTTAATTGGAGTAGACAAAAATGGAAAGAAAAATCCCTCTCTTCATAAGACTTTTCTGGTAGATCCAACTCAAGCTTATCTTCTCCCCACCGACTTCTTCTGCACTTGGTATTTTTACTGAACAATTAGCTTTTTAATATGAATTATCTGATTGTCTTTCGTGAGCAATTTAGTAATTTATTATATGTCCTGAGAATAACTACATCAAAGTCTAAATCCCGGCCCCCATAGGATGTTGTAAATTCCTTGAAGTCAGAGAAATTTCCTAAGCTTATTACTCAGCCCGCCGTCAGTGTTAACAAATTATTCTCCAGGAACATGGTCATTCCAACACACTCTATACACGTGCCATGACACACATGCACACCACTGGATCAGTGCTCTCTAAAGAACAAGCTTTGCTGATCCTGTTTCACAAAAATAGTAATTAGACATAGCCAAGATCATACTGACACAGCCATTCTTTATTTAAAAAGCATAGTCCAGTAAAAAGCATACTTCAAAGAGGTACTATCCAATACTCAACACAGTCCTCAACGTTTGTGCATTTAAAAAGAATTACCAAAACACATTGCCACATGGTCCTCGAGACTCACATTCACTCCTAGAATTCTTCCTTCACAGTCTTGCCAATGCATTCTACTTATTAATTTCTCATTCGTTTATTTAACATTTTTTAGCCCTGTGGCTCAGGCTCCATATTAGATGTGTGGAATTCAAAGACAGAACAATGCATTCTTGGCTCCTGTGCAAACAGGTATCCTCAATCCAATGAAATAACTGCTATACTGGGAAGACATATTTATACAAGGTGAGATGGGAATACAAAAAAAAAAAAGGCTAAATCTTTCTGAGGGTCAGGTAACTCTGTTCAGAGGACTGAATCAAAGAAGATCAGTATCTTGTATGTGGGCAGACAAGGGGATGGTTAGTTACAGAAGTCCTGTTAGTTGCACAAGTCCTAGCCAGGAAACCCTCAGAGAGGGTTTTTCCTTACAGTTTGGGGTCCCTAGGGCCCAAGACAAAACATCAAATGGCACCCTTGACAACGGGACACAGCTTAAGGCAGGGACCCTGGGCTCTTTCCACTCTGGGTCTGCTGGAAGGGAAGGGCAGAGCTTCCTAAAAAGGAAGCCAACTGACCACGCCACAGGTAAGCCCCGACGGTCTGACGGATGCTCTGCTAGCCCTGCAGAATAACGACATCAAAGTCTAAATCACTAGAGGGAGAGGACTGTTAGGGGACTCATGGAAGAGAAAGATCTCAGTTTCCCAAAAAAATTTTCTCCTTCTGGAGAATATGGGCTTCGAGCTGGATATTAAGGAGATAAGGGGCAAAAGAGGGTAGGGAGTGAAGTGGAAAGTTCCCTGATGAGCAGGGGTAGCAAGGAAAGGAGAAAAAGGCAGAGGGACTAAGAACAGATTAACTTGCAAGAACGAGTGCTCGAGTCTTGTCTCCAGAGGTAGTGCAACCCGAAATCCTGAAGAGCAGTTGGACTGAGAAGAGAAGTGGGAGGTCAGGGTCAGGGGGCGCGGGGAAGAGGTGACTGGCGGCTGAGAGGCCACAGCTGGGAAGGAGAGAAAAGAATAAATTGGGGAGGGCCGGAAAGATTGATAGGAAGTTATGTAGGAAATGAGAGTGCTAACAGGAAGGGCTTAATTAGGGCTGTGATTGTCTAGAAGGAAAACAGGGGGAGATTTGGCAGCTCTTGGAACCTGGGGAGGGTAGTTATCTGGGTAAATGATAAGGGTATTTTCCACAGGGTCAGAGCAGGTTTTGATCTTTAGGAGAAGACAAATTCCTTTCCATCTTGCTGGAGCCAAAGGTTTAAATGGTCAAACGTGTGTCATAGGTAGGTGCAAAGGGAGGGAAATGTAATACATCCTCACGGCCAAGGGCCCTGGGCTTGGATCACTATGTCCTTGGCCAAGTTAACCAACTTCTTGAAGCTTCCAATGATTCATGCACAAAAAAGATACAAAAATACCTTTCACATGTATTCTTCCAGAAAGCGCTTGGCACAGGACCTGGTACATAAACAAATTCAGTAAGGTTTAACTTACGGTTAGCCTGCGTCGCTAGAAGCACATTATTCAAATGAGGACATGGACTGGTCAGATGACAGCAGAGACAGTGTTCAGATCCAGTGGCCCCCACCTGTAAGAACAACACTGATCAACTCTAGCCTGCCCAGGGGACAGTGACCCAGAGAAACAGGAAACCTTGAAAAATGAAGAAACATAAAATATTATTAAAAATTAAGAAAACCCACAGGTATTTAATCCTGATAATATCTGGGGGCAAGTGGGGGTTATGTAAAGAGAAAACAATGTTCCGTTTAACTTTAGGAAACGGCGGTGTTTAAGATTCTAGAGGCGTCAGTCATCATCTTTTAGTCAAGTTTATTAACCTCTCCAGTGCCTCTGTTTTTTAGTCCATAAAATGGGATTCATTAGATCACCTACCTTATAAGATTATTCTGGCAATTAAGTAACTCAATATGTGTCAGGTGCTTAGAAGACTATCTGGCACATAATAAATGTCCAGTAAGTTCTGAGGAGCAACGGATTGACAGGAGAAGTGGGAGCTGACTGTTGGTGCTGGTTGTTATTACTATAATTATTACCCTGAGGCCCGGTGCGGTGGCTCAAGCCTGTAATCCCAGCACTTTGGGAGGCCGAGACAGGTGGATCACGAGGTCAAGAGATCGAGACCATCTTCAGCATGGTAAAACCCCGTCTCTACTAAAAATACAAAAAATTAGCTGGGCATGGTGGCGCGTGCCTGTAATCCCAGCTACTCAGGAGGCTGAGGCAGGAGAATTGCCCGAACCCAGGAGGCGGAGGTTGCGGCGAGCCGAGATCGCGCCATTGCACTCCAGCCTGGGCAACAAGAGCGAAACTCCGTCTCAAAAAAAAAAAAAAAAAAAAAAAAAAAAAAAAAAAAATGACCCTGTGTAAGTTTTTAATAGTTTCAGCAATGGAAAAATGAGAAGAGCCTCCGGTGCAGCAGTAATTTCTTCTTACTACAGTTCAGAAAGTCGCCGATAACGACCAGTCAGTCATTAGAGAGGAGACTCCTCGCCCTGGGGGAAAGCCGATTTGGCACCTCCCCAACCCTCGGGCATCCAGCGTGAAGAAGGAAGAACTCGGCCGGCCAGCGGGGAGGCAGGGCCACGGCGCCAGCGACGCAACGACTGCAACGCGCCGCCAGGGAGCAGCAGAGCCCGACCCCGGGTCGTTCCATCCGCAGCAATCAGTTCCTCACTCGCTCCCAGTCTTCCTTCTTAGCTGAGAGGGCTAAACGCCGCCGAGGTAGCCCCGCCCATTATGATGATCCAGCCAATCACCGCGTCTCCTTCTCGGGAGGGGCGGGATCGCGGCCCTTCCCTCGGTCGCCCGGAGCCTGGGTTCCGCTTTTCAGCCCCGCCCCAGGCGCTGGGCCAATCCCGGAGGCGCGGCAGAGCGTCCCCAGGGACAGCGCCCCGCAGACCACGTGGCCCGGTAGGTGCGGGGTGACCCGGCCCGGAGCGGGCGAGGGGACGGGTGGGCGGAGCGGGGCGGGCCAGCCTCGCGCCCGTGACCCGAGGTCCTGTGCCCTCTCCCAGCGATGGGCGTGCAGCCCCCCAACTTCTCCTGGGTGCTCCCGGGCCGGCTGGCGGGGCTGGCGCTGCCGCGGCTCCCTGCCCACTACCAGTTCCTGTTGGACCTGGGCGTGCGGCACCTGGTGTCCCTGACGGAGCGCGGGCCCCCTCACAGCGACAGCTGCCCCGGCCTCACCCTGCACCGCCTGCGCATCCCCGACTTCTGCCCGCCGGCCCCCGACCAGATCGACCGCTTCGTGCAGATCGTGGACGAGGCCAACGCCCGGGGAGAGGTCAGCGGGCGGGCGGGGCGGCGCAGGGAGGGAGCGGCCTGGAAGGTCAGCAGGGGCCGCGGGCGGAGCTGGGGAGGCCGGGCCTGCTGGGACTTAGCTGGGCTGGGGAGGGACTGGGGCAGGCGGTAGGGCCGGGAGCCGGGGAAGCCAGTGCGGGGGAGGGGACGCTAAACGGCAGGAACGAAAGAGAGGGCGAAGCTCTGCCAAGTGGGCTTGAGGAGAGGCGGTGGAAAGCGGCGAATACTGTGAGTTGAAAAGGAGAAGGGTGTGGACGGACACCTGGCGGGGGGGGGGGGCGGCGGGGGAGGGAGGGGGTTGAAGTCACGTGGAAGCCGTTTTAAAGCTGCCCGAGTATAATGGAACCTAAGTGGCTCCATTTAATGTTGACTTTAACAGCAACCGCATTTTTAAAAGGCAAGGAAGCAGATAAAATTAATTTCGGCGATCTTAATGAGATATTTTCATTCTTTTTTGTACTACCTCTTCGTACTTTGGTGCGTTTTCACACTGCGTTTCAGTTTGGGCTAGCCGCATTCCACATACGCAGCACCACGGTAGCCGTGACCAGTGGCTTCTGTATCGGGCAGCACAGGTGAAGGGCCGTGCGGAGGCGGGCAGCTCTTGAACCAGCCACTGCAGAGGCCTTCTAGCCACCCAGTGCAGGGACAGTCCTCCCTGACTGCTGCAGAGCCCTGGGCCTGGCACAGAAGCAGCAGCGGTGGGGAGAACCAAGTGAGGGGCAGGAAATAGTAGGGAGCGGGGGAGGCAGGCGGCACCCATCGCACACCCTCTTCATAGGCTGTGGGAGTGCACTGTGCTCTGGGCTTTGGCCGCACTGGCACCATGCTGGCCTGTTACCTGGTGAAGGAGCGGGGCTTGGCTGCAGGAGACGCCATTGCTGAAATCCGCCGACTACGACCCGGCTCCATCGAGACCTATGAGCAGGAGAAAGCAGTCTTCCAGTTCTACCAGCGAACTAAATAAGGGGCCTCAGTACCCTTCCACCAGGCCCTCACTCCCCTGCCTGCTGTGATCCATGGGGCCAGAGATGAAGCGAAGAGGACTAAGGTATTAAACCCTCCAGCTCGCATTGGCTCAAGACCCTGAAGTAGCCCACCCCTGCAGGCAGGTCCTGACTGAAGGGGAGGCTTGTACTGCTTTGGTGAATAAATGAGTTGTACGGACCAGGGTACGTTGCATGATACTTTGTAAAGCACTCCCACACATCAACTTTCAGCCTCACTGTAGCCCTGGATGAAGTGGCCAAAGCTCAGAGAAGCCCATCTTCCCACGTCTAGAAAGTGGAAGGGTGGGCCAGAACAGCAACACACATCTTCAGTCCCTTGAAGATGCTGAAATGCTGTGTATCTGTTCCCTGACAGTGTTTGATGTGTTTTCTGCGGAGCTAGCCGATGAAAAGGATTCAGGTCCAGAGTAGCCTCGCCTCTTGGCATTCCCAGGTCGCTGATGCTCACAGGCCAGGAGTCCCCTCCGTGTAGGCCCACCTGCTGCACACGTGTCACCCTTCTCTGGGGGATGACAACCTAGATGTCACAGCCTGGATGTCACACTCAGATGATCACCGTCTCCACTTCTCCGGGACTGGGCACCTCTTACCAACCTCAGATGCTGCTCAGCCCATCCTGGGCTCTCTAGCCCACTCTACTGCCCCACAACCTCAGGCCAAAGGATCCAGGAACAGAGCCAGTCTAGGCAGTTACGCGGAGCCAATATTTGACAATTAAATGAAGAGCTCCAGGGCCCTAAATCTTGACCACTTTTCTCAGATGTTATCTCCACTTATACCCTGTTGGATCCCATTCTGCCCTCTGGTGGGCCCGGTTTTGCCGGCACCACTACGCTTTTGACTTTTGAGAGATGGGAAGAATGGCATACACCCACCAAATGGACTGTTTGCTGTAGGTCTGCCTGAATCCCTGTGCTCTCTTCTGCAATCGCAGGCTGCGTAAGATAGAAATTCACCACAAAATGTGTGAGTGCCCGTCTGTACCTGTATGATTCCTGTTAGATTTGGAGACCACACGGTGGAATGAGACATGATTCCTGCTCTTGGGAGCTCAGCCTGCTGGAGAAGATGGGCACGGATAGAGTCCACCACAGGTAATAGATGCTATTGTAGACATGCATTCCAGTCACAGTAGAGACATGGCGGGGTGGGGGGGAGCTCAAGGGCTCCCCTGTAGCTCTCATCCCTTGTATCCTAGACCAGAGACAGGCCTAGCCACCTGGTCCTCCCTTCTGCTGCTTTCCCCGCTTCCACTACTGACCACCCAGTTCATCCCTGTCCAACTCAACCTTAAATAAAAAGAGATATCAGCTGAAGTCTTGCCAATCTAAGAGAGGCCATAAGATGCCCGCTCCCCGGTTTTCCTTTATTTGTCAAATCTGAGTGATCAGTTCCTTCAAGCCTAGTCCCCACCTAGCCTACTCAGATGAGGACATCTCCCGAAGAGAAGAAACCCACGCATTCCAGCTGCAACAGGGGAATGAGAAACAACATAAATAGAGGATGCACTGAAACCCTTACCCTCCTGTCACCAAAAGTTCTGTCTACCCTGCTGTCCCCCATCCACGCCGCCCCCAACAGTATGGCTCTGTTCTGTTTCTGATGCAAACCAGAACATCTTCCAAAGGGGTGTGCGTGTGTGTGTGTTCATGTGAAGGGAGTAGGGCATGAAGGGTGTGAACGGACCCCTTCCTGAACCCCTTCCCCCTAGTCCGAGAGCTTACCAGGATGGAGAGAGAGAGAGGTGTGAGGCACGAAGCTTCTCCTAGTACATGCCTCCACTCGGGTCCTCACCTGCTAGGCCATCCAACCAACCCTTGCTTTTTCTACCTCTTTGTCCCCGTGTCACTCCATCCTCCCCACATCTCTGCACTGTGGAAGCGGAATATGCCGTTCCCTTCCTCCCAAGGCTCCTTCAAAGGAAACAAAATCTAACCCCATTAAAGCCCTGTGTACTGCCTCCATCTCCATAATTTAAGCAAGTCTCTGCCTCAAGAGTTCCTTAGGGAAATACACATATAATTAAGTGCTTAAGGAAACTGCTTTTTAAATAAGTAAGAGTTGGCTTGAAATGAAAAAACTCTGCCCTTGCATCTACCTGGGAGGTTAGCCTGAGGCTTCCTTTGGGCTCATTCCCACTCCCAATTTTTTTTTTTTTTTTTTGTCTTCTCACCAAGGCCTCTTATGTCTATGGCTACCAGTAAGGGGTAACAGACTAGTCATATCCCTTCCCATTCTACGCTGGAATAGATGATTTGTGCAAGGAACCAGCTACCACCATCTAAAAAGAACATTCGCCTCAAACCAGGTTTCTCAACTATTGACTTTGGAAGTGGGTGATTCTTTGTTGTTGGGACTGTCCTGTGCTTTGCTGGATCTTTCGCAGCTTGCCTGGCCTCTACTCACTACATGCCAGTAGCATGTCCCTCCTCCCCAAAGTTGTGACAACCAAAATTGTCTCTAGACATTGACAAATGTCCCCTGGGGGAGCAAAATCGGCCTCAGTTGAGATCTGCCTCAGACCAGCAAGCACTAGATGCAGCCATTGGCTTTCCTTTCTTCTGGGAGTGGAGGTGGGAACACACTTGGTAATGTCTCCTGTGAATGCACAGTTCTTAATAGGGCAGAAAGGACCAAACCTCCTACCTTTTCAAGCAATGTCTGGCAGCCATCCCCGGTCCCTCAGCCTTTTTCTTGGCTGCTTTCCCCAAACAGTACCAGACACCACTAACCTTCCATATTCAGGAGACTTTGATTCTCAATGAGCTGCTGATGGGCACAGCTGTAGTAACATCTACTCCCACCCCCGTGTCTTTTTTTTTTTTTTTTTTACATTTAATTCATGTTTATTCTCTGGTATGTGATCAGAGTTCTCTGCTGAATGGAGGCTTCTCTATCTGGAAAACATCCCTGAACATCATTTGGGCTCTGCAGCGGTCACCTCTTGAGTTCCTCTTTCAGAAAACTGATGCAGAAACGACTGGAAGCAGGTCAGGAGGAGCGACAGCCACACTCTTCTTTGAGAAGATTCCTCCCCATCCTGATTCTCCCACCTCCACTTCCCCTGGAGGACTCCCTGACCAGGGCACTTTTGCTCTCTGGGTTCTGGATTCCATGACTGCCTCACAAGCCATGTATCCCAAGACAGCCTTCCTGCTGCAGAGAGTACTGGGGTGGGGAGACAGGCCACACACTGCATACACTGAGGCTGGCTGACACCTCCCTTGGATCCGTACTTGGTCATCACCTTTACATCCTGACCCATTCATGACACGTGGGGCTCCTGTCCACAGGAGGCTCATCACTGCTCTTCCTCTGACTGAGGAGACACTCCTCATCACACCTTCCCACCTGCCCCCCACCGTCCCCAAGATCCAGCCTTCCCAGGGCAATGATGGGCACATTACCTGGGGCAGAGATTTGATCCAAACCGTAAACCATTTCCCAGAATGCACTGCACCCATTTGCCAAGCTTCAAATCAAATGTTCTGCTGTTCCAGCCTGCCATTCTCTCTGAGAATTTGGTCTCACAGGATTGCTTTGTCACAAAACAATGTCAGTCACCATAAATGCATTTTACATTTTGTCATGACTGTACTTTTCTGATGTAATTGCCGTCATTTACAAAGTGCTTACCATGTAGCAGGTGTTTTACATACCTCGTGTTATTATTTTATCCTTACAACTCTGCAAGTCACATATTTCCCCCTTTTTAAAGATGAAGGAACTGAGATTTAGATAAGTAACATGCCCAAAGCCACACACTGCTGACGGAGCTGGGTTACAAACGCAAGTCGTAACTTCAGAGTTCATGTTTCTTTGACTAGACATCCCATTTGCCAAGACTTTTCCTGGTTCCAGCCCACAAAGGAGCCTGAATTCCTGATTAGAGCTTGGCCTCAGGGGCCGTCTCATCAGCATGGCTTCCAATGACCACTCTTTTTATTCGCTTAGGAAGCCAAAGAACAACCCTGCATCTGACACTGATGTCAGTAGCACCTGAATTATGTGCTTCTCCTTAAAATGTGGCCAGATGACATTTTGGTCTGGATGATAAAAAATAAATAAATAATGTGGCCCGAGTGTTTAAGAGCAAAATAGTGACACTGATTTATCAGGGTGGTTCTGTCACATCCATTATTATCTAATTCAAGCGTACAGATATCCTTACCTGGCATGACAGTCTTAAGGCATGTGTGCTTGGTAACAAGCCCTCAAAAACGTCTTTTTATTTCTGATGATTTACTGAAAACCCTAATACCTTTTCTGGTTTTCTTGTTGTTTGAGCCCTTAATGCAGGCTGGGAACTGTGCCAAATGCTTTACAGACATTATCTCATTCCATCCTCAAACAAACAAACAAACAAAAACAAAAACCCTATGAACAAAATATTACCATCACCAGTGCACAGATGGATAAACTGACCCAGAGAGTTTAAGTGATCTGCCCGCAGTCACCGAGTTGAACAGGATTCAAATTTCAGGCTGTCTAACTCTAAACCACCTTCCATCTTGGGAGCAGAGAGAATAGACTTTGTTGTAATTAGAAAATAGATAACAGCATCTTGTGTTCCCCAGAATGGAGGCATCTGGACTCACAGGGCCATTGGTGGAGCTCTCCGATCACACAGTGTTCAGTGGTATAACTCTGGCTTGGGAGGGTGCAGGCTGCAAGCACAGTCGCCATCTCTAACAGGCTTCTGCCTAAAGCCTCCATCACCATCAAAAATATAATTCCCTGTTGACTTAGAAATGAATTACATAAGCACTTCTCCCATTACTTTTAAATTTTTCTCTGGCTATTACGGATTCAAGGCATGCTCTTGAGAAGAGAGTATGCTTGTCCAAGCAAGCAGAAATTTAAGAAACACTTTGGCGCATATCCATGCCTGAAGTTGATGACTTATTTGCAACCTTGATAACACAGTTTTTTCTGCCGATAAATTGCTTAAATTTGACAACTCTTTCACCCTATTTGTCCACTGACTTACTCTGCCATAATCAATTAATGATGTTTTCAATGTGTGGCCTTCAGTATGGCAAACAGTTCTGGGATTATTTCCCTGCCAGCTTTCGTCAACGAAAAGAGTCAAACTCTAAAATATTTTAAGAGATTTATTCTGAGCCAAATATGAGTGACCATGGCCCATGACACAGCCCTCAGGAGATCCCGTGTGCCCAAGGTGGTCGGGGTACAGCTTGGTTTTATACATTTTAGGGAGGCATGAGACATCAATCATCAATCAAATACATTTAAGAAATCCATTGGTCTGGTTCAGAAAGGCAGGACAACTCCTAGTATAAATGCAAAGTTGGATACAATTAGCCAATATGCAATGCATAAATATTTAAGCAATGTTATAGTGATTGAAGAGATAAGAGGAGTGAAATTTGAAAAGATGAACCTTCAAAGAGATATGAAGGGTGAGGTTGGATAGCCTAAAACAAGTGTCCCCAAACTGCGGCCCCCTGAGGCCATTTATCCAGCCCCCCACCGCACTTCAGGAAGGGGCACCTCTTTCGTTGGTGGTCAGTGAGAGGAGCACAGTATGTGGCGGCCCTCCAACGGTCTGAGGGACAGTGAACTGGCCCTCTGTGTAAAAAGTTTGGGGACGCCTGGCCTAAAGGGATATACAAATGCTGGATGCTATTAAAAATACCAGTGTTATGTATTGGGTGCAGAGTCCACATAGGGAGCTTTAGACAGAGGGGTGAACAGGATAAAGGGGTATCAGTAAGGGGAAAGAAAGATATGGGGAGTCGATTGGCGTAGATGAGGTGGGAAGCAGGAAATGCATGGTTGCAGGAAAGGCAGTGAAAGGGCGGCAGAAACTCATGCCAAAGGGTTTGGTTCATATCTGATCAACAGTGTGGAGTCACCACAGTTTTCTGAGTAGAGGACATGTCACTAGGTCCGATTTTTTTCAGTTACGCTCTGACAGCTCTGGCTCCGTTACTTAGCTGCAATACAGTGCATTATGATTTAACACTGCCAAAGAGAGACGGGATCTCACAGCTGCTGATTTTTAAGGCTTTTCAGAAGATAAGAGTTAAGTAAGAACCTGCTTTTCCTGCTTGCTGGAAGTTAATGACTT